TCAATTATTTCCTGTTCACGTGATGACCTTATTACGCTATCTCTGCAGGGCCAAAACACTTTAAGCGTTTTTTACTCGAGATTTGGTAATAAATTTGATGACAACCACAGTCGAATATTCTCATCGTCTTTATTGCAAGAAATATACACATCGTAAGATAGTGTTAATTGAATTGAACTTCTTTTAAAATTCTTAATAACTCTACGTCCAATAGTATATATCTCGAATCGAAAGATATATATAACTGCCAACAGTAAAACTACAAGAACGAACGCAGCCACGATAAAACTGCTGATCCATATGATGTTTTTATTCGGTATTGTACACCCAAGATCTTCCTTAGACATATTCTTCATGGAAATTAATTGTTCCTCTTTTCTACATAGTACTTGCATATTTTTCGTACACTTAGACTCCTCCTGTGGAAGCCATTCTTGTAACCAGATATCATTACATTCGCATTGCATGATTATAGTTCCTAAATAAATGTTACAAGGGTTTAATACTTCAATAGATCTATGCAATGAATTAATATTGTTTCCCCTTAAATTTATTTCTGCAGTCCTTAACAGAAACAAATTAGATCGTGGTAGAATTTCAATGTTGTTTTTTGTAAAATTGAATAAACGAACACATTTAGAGTAGGATGTGTTAGTATGTTTATGTTTTGGTTTAGATTTGAACTAGTTTTGTAAGACGCACAAATCGTTATTTGATAAATCGACTTCTAAACTTTTGTAATCAGGAAGCGCATTTAAAATCTTTGTGCGATCAGAATAAGAGCAGTCAATCAAAGTTCTGTTTCTTACTGCTGGTTGGTATATGCATTGACATCGTGGTGGAAACTTGTCTGCTAAAGACAAATTTCAAATCAAGTTTTCATATTGGCGCTCTTTAATAATTGTCAAAATTGACCTATCTTTAAATGATTTCGGAGTATAGCATTTAACATCAAAGTTATCCCTCGTTATTGCATAAACAAATCGTTCTGCAGCTTTTGCAAATTCATATATTTTGCAATCACAATCCAATTTATTATCTCTGAAGTCAAATCCGTAATAGATAAGTTTTCCGATTTGTAGAAGATTTTGACAGCCAAAGAACTTCAACATCCTCATATTAAAAAATGACGTAAACGAATTATTTGACACATCCATCATGCCTCCACGACCGAGTGTGGTTTTATCTTTGCATTTCCATGATAGTTCATTTGTTACAGTTTTTATTGAATTGTGAGAGTAATTTACCACACAAAAAAACTGCTGTTTTGACGCAATTCAATTTGTTATATCCATTGTAGCCAATTTTTTTAATGGATAAGTTCAGATAAAATAAACTTCCGTTCATTTTTCAGGAGAAACCCTGGGTCTATTATATCAATTCTATTAAATGATAAATCAAGTATACGAATAAACTTCATATGCAAAAGTGTATAGTTATTCAAAAACTGTATATTGTTCCCATGAAGAAGAAGAGTATCCAAGTTTCTCAAGCACGAAATTTCTTCTATACTCGTGATATTTTTGAAGGAAAGATCCATTACAAACAATCCTTCAAATTAACAAATATTCCCGGGTAGAATAGTAAGGTGACCATACCGATGATACAACGAATTCAAATCATGTTTTCCTCCACGATTCACAATTTCGGAATTATATTCACCGTCTTTGTATTCAATTGTTATATTTCCAAGATCATCTACATCCGATTTTGAACGGCATATACAACAATGCATGTGATTTACGCCGGGGTATCAATTACATTTCAAGGGACATTTCAAGTCTGGTCTGTTGAACATTGATTGTATATCTTTTTCTACATAATTCAGCTTTAATTCTGAACTTATGCAATAAATCACAAAAAGAACTATTATGCCTATGTATATTTTATCTTTATAGACTCGCATTTATTGATCAATTAGTTACATTTTCCTTTATCTCAGAGGTTATAAAAACGCATTATACATTTTTAGATGGAATGTATCATATATCATGACTTTAGAGTCACAAGAGAGCTATACGTGATATTTTAAAGATGACCTTTGATTTGTTAATTAGTTTCCCATAGAAATAATTCAGCGAAAAACAATTATATGAAATAGAAAGATCTTACTGATATCCTATTTCACACGGACATATTTGAAACATAAAACCCAAAGTTAAAACACAAGTTTTAATTCTAATTGCTCTTATTACAAAGTACAATATCTATTTAAAGGTATACTTTCAGCAAGACAATACTGGACCATAACTATTTATTTTTTGTCTTACGTTTTTTTAATTTTTTTTTTTTGTCAGATTTTGTTTTAATTAATTGAGCTAACCGCATGCATTATCCATCGAGTGAAGAAATCTCTTTTTCTTCCGAACATTAAACTAGTAAATATATTTGAGAATTGATCATTACGACATAAAGACAGAGTTCTTCAATGTTTTCATTCTTAACGATCCATTTTTTATGTAACACTACCCCAGCAGCCCTGTAGACTAATGTATCTCCAAGATGATACAATAATCAATGCCATGTGTTTCATATCAGGATTTTCTTATTCTTACACGATTTATCCTTTTCCTGACCTGTTGATTATTTGTATTTAATAAACGTGTGGTTCGTTTGATCTCAGTTCTTCATTGGTCAAAATTCGATTATGACGTCAAATTTTCTTTCTTTCCTCTAAATTTTCTATTGTGACGTCATGAAAAAGGCGACCATGCATGATGACGTCACATAGAAAGAACACATCCTTTTGCAGATCATTCGAAAAGAAGGATTGAATTTGTCTGCCTATCGTTTAAAATCATTAGAGAAACATATTCAACCACCAAATCTTGTGCAATACGATATTTATCAACTCTCGATAGTTAAATTTTAAATATTTAAAACCCAAGGCGCTCCTCGCGTTTTAATTTGAAAATTTAACTCTCTCGGGTGACTAAATATCTTATCATAATCGATACAGTGGTAGAATCTATATTTCTTTGACAAAAAATCTTGAAGATTTCTAGTCTCATCATTCTCGTTGCTAAATATTTTTTTACATCAAAGATATCATGCATGTTCCATTTGATGTTGTCATGATCCTGTCCTTCCTTTCTCTTGTCTATGAATATTATCACAGGACTATTGATTGACTTTTTTCTGCAAACTTTCATTTTTCATGTTACAAAAGTCCAGCACCCAAACTATTTGCAAGATGATAACATATTCCATGGCTTGTGTTTCGTATCAGAAATTGTTTAATGTAGGGTTGCTGCTTTTTTTGCATGAAAACTAACAAAGAGATACTAATTGTTACTTTCAGTTAATGTCTTCGAAAGTTTTCTGACGTTATGATCATTTGGTTTGTCGTTATGGGATATCTGTGACGTAACAGATCATGTGATTTTGTATGTTCCATTTGCTCAGTGCTTTAACAATCCTATTCTTCTTTATTCGTTGATGACTTGTCACCGAATACCTTGTGTCACTCATCATTTTATGAATGGTCATTTGTTATATAGCCTTGAAATTAGTGCATATTCTGGAAAATTGAAAATCTATATAAATTCATTACCTTTGGAACAATAAATTCACAGTAATTGTATAAAAAAAAAACGCGAAAATGATATTTACACGGAAAAAAAGTTTTTTTCCTATTGTCTCTAGATCTCATTCTTAAAATATACGAACACTTATCGCTATATTAGTTTATCACACATAAGAATGAATTATTAGGTTACAATTTTGTAAAATCATTCTTAATTAAAATAATTACGTCATAGATATGCACAGGACTAGGTAAGAACAAAATCCTTACAAATATGTATGCTTCAAGTACAAATTTAAAGATTTATAAAATCGTTATATTTATATTCCAATTAAATTGATTGAAAATTTTCTTGCAAAAACATTTTTATCAAAATGAAAACGACCAATCCTGAGATTTTCGCCGTAGTCAAGATGCATACCAACACTTCCTAAATAAATAATGTAGGAGTTTTTAAAGATGAGATAGTCAAAAGTAAAATAACAAAAATATCGAACTCCAACTCAAATAGATATAAGAAGATGTGGTATGAGTGCCAATTAGACAACTCTCCATCCAAAGCATACTTCAAACATATCTTTTCCGCATAATATTTCCTGATAAGACAATTTATTTATACAGAAAAAAACATAATTTCCGTATGGATGAAGTCAATGAAGATGCTAGAAACGGCGATTATCTTACGTCGTTTAAACGTTATCCTCGTGTATCCTCATGTGTTCTCGTGTTTTTTTCTCGAGTGTGAGCGTAGAGTATTTTATATGTCGACATATAATTATGTTAACAACACGAACAACATGTGCTGGAAAAAAATGAAAAGATAAAAACAAACATGCATTTTACATTGTACGTACACTTCGCCTTAACATAGACATTCATTTATTTAACATGTTATAAAGAAAATATCTAGAAAGTAAGGGGCTAAATACAAGAATTATCGTCCTTATTCAATTGTTCCTCCGCTTCGATGAATCGGTGTCTGATTGCATTACGGCCAAAATAAACATGCCTTTATGCAGAGGCGGATTTTTCAATTTTATTTTGGTGCGTGGAAGGGGGAGGGGGTGATGCATGAACTTACTTACTTTAACGATAAAATGAATTTGTTGGCCCTATTTTGCATAGACATGTTTGAATTTAATGACTGACATGACGTCATGTTTATTTCTATACTTGTTTTCCTATGATGTTGTAAGGTCTGACGAAGCTGGCATTTTTTCTTTGACATCAATTGTTTTGCATGTTATGCAGTGATGTTTTAGATTGTAATGAACATATTATAAAGATTACTAATACATTTCTTACAGCAATTTTGAAAAGCATGTTATTTCACATTCACATTTGTATGATAGATTGATTTGTTGTTGCTTGTCTGCTTTAATTCAAGTGACAAATATGTCATGCATATTCAGGAGGAAAACAAATTAAAGTCTGTTTGAGCTTCTATAAATCTTCAAACATAGGTCTTTTAAGGGGGTACACAACACCTAAGAAAGATAACTCTAACTCTTTGGTCTGTTTCATTGTAGCGTTTTAAAATTACATGCAATATGCAAGACTTTTAAAGATCCAGATCAGAATGTTTACTTGTTGCTAAGAGCAGACGATCAGGCTATTGTAATTCGTTAATCTTGTTAAAAATCTACCTTAATCTATAAATAGTTACAAATTTTTCCATAAATGAATCAGCAAAGAGACAAAACAGGCAAATTTCAAGGCAACGTTAATGTAAAAAAGAAAAACAAGAGGTCCGATTTTTTCAAGTGGTCACATGAAGGGAAGAAGAAGGACCCCGAAATAGTTGGCTTATTTAATGACCACTTCAACTACATTCATGACCACACAGATATAGCAGCAGAGGCTGAGATCACTGATCCACTTTATGGGAAACAACAGTCCTGGGTTGTGGGGAGGAGGATTGTTGAATTAGACCTTCTTGCAGTGGGAATGTACTGCTGTATTTGTAAGTCCCCTCTACACCTGTCCAATACAGTAGGGGAAAAGCTATTTGGTCTAAGTGGCATTATAATGATCCGTTGTGAACTTTGTGACACAGTGACAGATGTCCAGACAGGGAAAAGAGGACCAACTGGAAGTTATGATATTAACACAAAAGCAGCCATAGGTAGGTTTACATTTAGTTATTGCGAACCCAATGGTACTTTTCCACAGATTCACCTGCAAGTTACCTGTCGATTTAAACTTTTGTAAGTTCTTTTGTCCCATCTAATAAATACAATAGCTATTGTTCTCTGTGTAGTTTATTTGATGGGACCTTTAAATTTCTTCCAAGAGAAATCTATCACTCACTGATTATTTTACCTGAACAAAAAATTGAACTGTCAAAAATGGAAATACATGTACAAATACTAAATAAGGACTCAAAAAAACTGCATGTGGTGTTGTTTGTTTATTTGTTTTTTGTTTTGTATTTATTCAATATCAATAATTCATTTTTAATTGTTTCAATATAAACACTGATTCAAAAATTAAAAGTTGATTTCTGAACAAATTTTTTATATTTTCCTTATTAAAATTTGCTTTTTTTTGTGTGTTTGACAAATAAAAACTTGAAAATTATTGTGTTTAAATTAAGGTCTTGATAAATGTATTCTATAACTGAACAACAACAAAAACATGCAAATTCATTGGAACAATACTTAAAATTTTGTCAGAAATAAACTTTTTATAATTGAACAGATTGAAAATATATTATTGATATTGATTAAATACAATATTGCATGCAGTTTATGCGTGTTTATACATCTATTTCCCCCAAAAAAGAAGATAATTTTTTGGTCAGGTAAATTAATCAATGAGTGATAGATTTCTCCTAGAAGAAATTTAAAGGTCCCAGTGAAAAAACTACACAGAGAACAATAGCTATTGTATTTATTCAATAGGACAAGAGAATTGACAAAAGTTTAAATACCCTGGTCAAGAACAGATGACTCTGTGGAAGACTTTCATTTGGTTGGCAATAATACAATTTTTAGCAGAAACTATAAACAAACCTAATCAAGTTCAACCAGGATCTTCTATAGCTAGTAGATTGTACCTGTATACTCCCCTCCATACTCAAAGCTTGAATGCAAAATCTTAAATCCAATTTTGTGCAAAATAAGAAACATTTCTAAATATCTTTTTTTGAACTTTGTTGTTAATGTTTGAATTTGAGTCTCACTCTGTAGAGAAGAGCAAATAACAGTAGTGAATCAATAAATTTTTATCAGCCCCCCCCCTGACTGCAGTAAGAGGGGGCATGTTCCAGTCATGCTACAGTGATCCCTAAATAATCCACCAAATTTTTCACACAAAAGGAGGGCCTAGGCCCCTATATTTGTTTCTTAATAAATAAACATTTTTTTAAATTTTGGCCTTATTCTTGTAAGCAATAATTTTAAACTTCTCCCCATGAATTTGAAAATTAAAAAGTTAACTTCTCAAGCAAGATTTGTGAACAAGGTAAGAAAAAAAAACCTTGCACAAGGTAGAAGAATTTGTTCAATTCAATAATATTTTTTTCAGGATTGTTTTAGATTTATAATTCATGGTTAACAATAATAACAATAAAAATAGATATCTTTGGTTTGATGAATGAAATATATTTCTTTTCAAACATTAAGCATGAATTTATACAAATGATTCATACAAAGACCACATTAATGTCTTCAATAAAGCAGAAACTATATACACCATATATGCAGACAGCTCTTAATTGCCCTTATGACAAATCCAGTGCAAAAAGTATACATTGTATTAAAATATCAAATATGCTCTAAAATGGAGCATTTATAAGGGAGATACAACCACTGACCAAGCATTTTAAACCAAGGAGACTATAATTAAATTATCTACTTTCATATGCGTAGATATGGATATTTCAACACACTGAAGTATCCAAGTACACCGTGAGGCAAAGCCCAAGGGTGTACAGGGTACTGAAAGGTGTTAAAATATCCATATCTACGGATTATAAACGTAGATAAAGAATGTTTCCCCAGTCTTAGTCAGAAAACAGTAGTTTTAAGAGAAATTGGACCACAAAGTGTAACATTTTTTAATTATTTAAAACTATTTTATTGAAATTTGAGAATTTGACATTTTAACTGCGCTAACCAATCCAAATCCTAGAAACATAAAGTCAGGGATAAATTTATTTAGTCACTCTCAAACAGTAACCTCCCACTACTATGCCAATGGTCAATATCATAAAACAACATATATACAGGTACATGTATCAGAGCATTTTTATTCAACAAACAAATATATTGTCCGCTCTATGGTCGGGTTGTTGTCTCTTTGACACATTCCCCATTTCCATTCTCAATTTTATATATATTCAAAAGCCTTTGAAAATATCTCATACCTAAAAATAAAAATTTTGTTAAGAGAAAAACATGCATTATTCCTATATCTCTATTCACTTACATCTTCATGCATTGCAGGAATGATACATGCAGGAATAGGACCTACCCATCTACAAAACTTTCTTGCTGAATGTAATTTGCCATCTATCAGTGAAAACACTTTGAGGAAGAAGGAGAAGGAGCTTAGTAAACAGATTGGGGAAGTTGCAAACAGATCTTGCAGAACTGCACAGGAAGAAGAAAAAGCGCAGAGTAACAATAGTAATGTAAGTTTAATAAATAATGTGTTTAATTGATTAAGAAAAATAAATTTTATTCTAATGCAACATGGTTTGTAACGTTTAATTTGGTTGAATAACGTCATAAATTTTAATGGTTTAATGAATTTGCTGGATCCAAACCCGTTCTACATCACAACAGAAGAACAAACATATAAAAACTTTTTTTCAGTCAGGTTTCATGTTTACTTACTATTTACTGCTAAACTCTAGACCAAAGGGTATAAAATATTGGACACTATGAAAATAAGCCAGAATTCCTCTACGATTTGCACTTATATATCTGATTTGATGTTCTTATATATAGTTACAGACTATAAAAAGGATTTTAATTGCTCTTTTTTATAAACATATTTTATTTCTACAAATATCCAATATTGATTCATATATCAAAATTATACGTTCAAAAAACTTTCTACCAATTAATTTTAAAAAAAAGGAAAGAATATAATTGTCATTTACCCTGTCTTACATGCTGCCTATAGACTTTCTTTCAAATCTTATTTACATGTATGCATAATACTAGAAATAAAATTATATTTTGGTAGGTTGAAGCTAGTTTTGATGGTGGTTGGCAGAAGAGAGGCTCTGGATGGAATTACAATAGTAATACAGGTAAGAATTAATATTGGTATGCATGATGTATACCAGTAAAACCAGTAAAAACCCAACTTAATAAATCCAAACAATCTAGCAAAAATTTACTCTTAAACCTCAAACTAATATTGGAACAAAACAAATTAATGTGTTTTTTTTGTGTATTTAATAAATATGATTTACCTACAGAAAAGTAAACCAATTTTAGTTAAAATATGAAATGAATATTCTTGTAATTGTATTATAAAAATCAGAATATATACTAGTAGTAAGTCAAATAAAGCCAGTTTGGTCCTTGGAAGTATCTTAACAAGCAGAAGACAAAAAAAGACAAATCCTTCTTTTCGCAAGAGTAACCTCCCCTGTGCCATTGAACATTTCTAAGAACAGAGGTTAATGGGCCTAAATCAGGACATCTGGATTTTAAATTTACCCTTTATTCAGGAATTAACGATTAATTTCTCAGGATCTGGGAAAGTCAGATATTTCATTTTTCAAGAAAACATGGTGAAATTCACCCTTTTTCTAGTCTATTAAAAATGGATGACACCCCTCATACCTCCCCCTTTTAGGAGATTTTAATAATATAATTTGGTGGTTTCCTATGGTATGATTTGTTAATGCAATAAGTTTGAGGTCAAAGTTTATTTTCAGTGGACTATATTAGTTTCAATGTTCTTTGAACCTGTGTAAACTGTTAACTTAATATATATATATAAATACAAATTAAATCTTCAGCCATGAAGGGGTTCACTTTAGATGGGTTCATAAACTGTAATGATGTACCTAAATAATAGAACTGAATGTGTCAGTGAACTACAGTAATTGCTACATTAGTATTTTAATTTTAATCGTATCTGTGTGTATGTCACTCTGTCCATCCAGAATCTTGTTAAAGTTTTTGGTCAAGTTAGTTTTTGATAAAGTTGAATTACGTCACATCAACTTGAAACTTAGTACACATGTGTCTTGTCATGTTATCTTTCTAAATTGTATGCCATATTAGTCTTCTGACCCACTGAATGTTGTAAATGATACTGTAAGCAGGGCAGCAGAGTACAATGGACACATACATTTCTTGGAAAGGACTTCTTTTTGCCTCTAACAAAAAAGGATTATGTAAGTGATGCTCATTAGGAAAATGTTTGATCACACAATTTATACATTTTAACTTTCTACAGGACACTCAACCTTTATTGGAAAAGAATTTGGGAAAGTACTGTCATTTGATTTAAGGAGTAAAACATGTAAGACCTGTGAGTACCACCAATTTAGAAAAGAGACTGTTCCAGATCATGACTGTCAATCGAATTGGCATGGATCAAGTAAAGCCATGGAGGCTGATATGGCTGTAGCAATGGCTCACAGGTTGAAAGATGATGGATGTGAAATCAAAGGTTAATAATATGTTAACAATAAAGCAACAAGAGTTATGTTATATGATGAATTAAGCCAAAAGGTGACACTAAGGTATTGCCTTTCTGGTTTTGCCAATGACTTTTGTGTTCACAAATGGGATAAGCTAAAGTTTAACATGAACCAGTAATTCTATATCAATGAAAGATGATATCCACTATTATAATATGCAGTTGCAATAACATTAGATCATCTCTGATTTCATGTCCATTTCATGTCTATGTTAACGAAGCGTGTTCAATTGACTGTTAAATGTCTATACAAATTCAATGTTAAAGTTAACTCAGTAAAGCATGAACCATTAACTAATCATAAAATCAGAACCTTGTAAGCACAACTCAATCTTCTTAAAATTCTCAATGATTAGGGTATGTTCATCATGTTTAATGAAAATTTCAATTTGCCAAAACTTTTCTGGTCCTAAAGTTTAGTTCTTTATGTATATCTCATATTCTGTTTCAGTTGTGCATGCTGATAATGATGCATCAACAACAGCAAGACTTCAAGTTGAGTTTGACAACATTTCAAAAAAGGACGACCAGAACCATGTCAAAAAAGGGATATCTACAAGCTTGCATAATATTTCTAAAAGGTATATACTTCTGTTAATCAACAATTTTGAAAAAAAAAACAATTACGGTAGTTGAAATGTTATGCATGTTAAAGAATGGTCATTTGAAAGCGTCTAAAAAACAACAGCACAACAAAAGAGTGAAGTTTATGCCCATGGAGAACAATTTATGAGTTTTCAGTGAACATTGAGGAATCATCACACTCAGTGCTAGATGGTGGATGGGCCATAAACAAAACTGTATACTAACTTAATGAAAAGGATGACTCTAACTGTATTATATTTGGTAACAAACAAAAGAACAAACATTTAAAAAAACAGACATGTGGTTTAAAAACTAGTCTTGTATGGACAAATCAGGATTTTTTTAACATTAATAATTATATGAACATCTTGATTTTTTTTTTTAACTACAATAATATAAAATAACACATTTATATATATTCAACAATGAAGGGGGTTAAAAAAACACTGGCATAATTTCATCTGCTTATTTGATTTTTCTTATTAATTTTTTTAGTGCATTTGAATTATATATAATAAACTGCAGTGAATACCAAAAATATATGTATATTCCAACATCAAGACTTTGAGCTTTTAAAATGCACCTTTTTTATTATACCTTCATTATATTCATTGATATGCATAATTTTTAAAGAGTTATCTTCCTATTGCATTTCTGGTTGCTGTCTGGTAATTGACTGCTCCATAGGTTTACATGCAAAATGGCTGATCTTTGAATTTTTTTAAAAATGAAATGCTACATAGAAAAAAAATTTCATGTGCATATCATGTATGTATTAATGTGAAATAGAGATTTAATCTAAAAAAGTGGGGGTTGCCACACAGAATAAAAAGTTAAGTAACCCTGTAGTCATAACTATTTTTTTCTACTTTCTGTTTGCTGTTTTTACTTGGTCACACAAATTCCAGTAAACATGATAACCTTCCACTTTCCTGGTAACAGGTTTCTTTTTAAAATAAATGTTATAAATTATTCAGCATAAACTTTTAATCAAACAGAAAAAAATGAGTCCCAAAACTGGAGTTTTAATACAAAACTAGTACTTCTGTAACAAAATTGTGTGTTTTTTTATTATTAAGTTTGGTGTTAACTAACAAACGAAGAACTAATCAAGAAACAGTAAGCTAATGACCCTTTTAATCATTTGCTGACGAGGCTAAACTAAAAATAAAATGCTTCGCTGGGCACAGCTTGATACGACCGAAGAGGTCAAACCCTGAACAGTTGGGGCAAGTATGGACACAACATTCATGCTTGATACAGCTCTGAATTTGGATTGTGATTAAATATTTGACACAGCATAGGTTTCTTACACAGAAAGAATGTGGACTAAGAACTTGATTTTTTTTAATTTACCTATTATGGTCCAATGTCCAAAATCAAAATACATGGTTAGATTCAGCATAACAAAGAACCCCATATAGTCAATTTTTGTTGAAATCAAACAAAGTTTAATTTTGGACCCCAACTTGGACAAACTTGAAAATTGGGCCCATAATCAAAAATCTAAACACATGTTTAGATTCAACATATCAAAGAACCCCAAGAATTCAATTTTTGTTAAAATCAAACTAAGTTTAATTATGGACCCTTTGGACCTTAATGTAGACCAATATAAAAAACGGGACCCAAAATTAAAATTCTAAATACACGGTTAGATTTGGAATATCAAAGAACCCTAATAATTCAATTTTTGATGAAATAAAAAAAAGTTTAATTTTGGACCCCAACTTGGACCAACTTGAAAACTGGGCCCATAATCAAAAATCTAAACACATGTTTAGATTCAGCATATCAAAGAACCCCAAAGAATTCAATTTTTGTTAAAATCAAACTAAGTTTAATTTTGGACCCTTTGGACCTTAATGTAGACCAATTTAAATAAAATGCTTCGCTGGGCGCAGCTTGATACGACCGCAGAGGTCGAACCCTGAACAGTTGGGGCAAGTATGGACACAACATTCAAGCTTGATACAGCTCTGAATTTGGATTGTGATTAAATATTTGACACAGCATAGGTTTCTGACACAGAAAGAATGTGGTCTAAGAACTTCAATTTTTTTAATTTACCTATTATGGTCCAATGTCCAAAATCAAAATACATGTTTAGATTCAGCATATCAAAGTACCCCAAGAATTCAATTTTTGTTGAAATCAAACTAAGTTTAATTTTGGACCCCAACTTGGACAAACTTGAAAACTGGTCCCATAATCAAAAATCTAAACACATGTTTAGATTCAGCATATCAAAGTACCCCAAGAATTCAATTTTTGTTAAAATCAAACTAAGTTTAATTTTGGACCCTTTGGACCTTAATGTAGACCAATTTAAAAATGGGACCCAAAATTAAAAATCTAAAATCACGGTTAGATTTGGCATATCAAAGAACCCCAATAATTCAATTTTTGATGAAATCAAACAAAGTTTAATTTTGGACCCTTTTGAACTCAATATGAACCAATTTGATAGCGGGCCCACAAATAAAAAATCTAAATACATGGTAAGATTCAGCATATCAAAGAACCCCATATATTCAATTTTTGTTGAAATCAAACAAAGTTTAATTTTGGACCCCAATTTGGACCAACTTGAAAACTGGGCCAAAAATCTAAAATCTAAATACATGTTTAGATTCAGCATATCAAAGAACCCCAAGAATTCAATTTTTGTTAAAATCAAACTAAGTTTAATTTTGGACCCTTTTGACCTCAATGTGGACAAAGTTGATAACGGGGCCCAAAAATCAAAAATCTAAATACATGGTTAGATTCAGCATAACAAAGAACCCCATATATTCAATTTTTGTTGAAATCAAACAAAGTTTAATTTTGGACCCAAATTTGGACCAACTTGAAAACTGGGCCACAAATAAAAAATCTAAATACATGGTTAGATTCAGCATATCAAAGAACCCCATATATTCAATTTTTGTTGAAATCAAACAAAGTTTAATTTTGGACCCCAATTTGGACCAACTTGAAAACTGGGCCACAAATAAAAAATCTAAATACATGGTTATATTCAGCATATCAATTAACCCCATATATTCAATTTTTGTTGAAATCAAACAAAGTTTAATTTTGGACCCCAATTTGGACCAACTTGAAAACTGGGCCCATTATCAAAAATCTAAACACATGTTTAGATTCAGCATATCAAACCCCAAAAATTCAATTTTTGTTAAAATCAAACTAAGTTTAATTTTGGACCCTTTTGACCTCAATGTGGACAAAGTTGATAACGGGGCCCAAAAATCAAAAATCTAAATACATTGTTAGATTCAGCATATCAAAGAACCCCATATATTCAATTTTTGTTGAAATCAAACAAAGTTTAATTTTGGACCCTTTTGACCTCAATATGAACCAATTTGATAGCGGCCCCACAAATAAAAAATCTAAATACATGGTTAGATTCAGCATATCAAAGAACCCCATATATTCAATTTTTGTTGAAATCAAACAAAGTTTAATTTTTGGACCCCAATTTGGACCAACTTGAAAACTGGGCCAAAAATCTAAAATCTAAATACATGTTTAGATTCAGCATATCAAAGAACCCCATATATTCAATTTTTGTTGAAATCAAACAAAGTTTAATTTTGGACCCCAACTTGGACCAACTTGAAAACTGGGCCCACAATCAAAAATCTAAACACATGTTTAGATTCAGCATATCAACGAACCCCAAGAATTCAATTTTTGTTAAAATCAAATTAAGTTTAATTTTGGACCCTTTGGACCTTAATGTAGACCAATTTAAAAAACAGGACCCAAAATTAAAAATCTAAATACACGGTTAGATTTGGCATATAAAAGAACCCCAATAATTCAATTTTTGATGAAATCAAACGAAGTTTAATTTTGGACCCTTTTGACCTCAATATGAACCAATTTGATAGCGGGGTCCACAAATAAAAAATCTAAATACATGGTTAGATTCAGCATATCAAAGAACCCCATATATTCAATTTTTGTTGAAATCTAACAAAGTTTAATTTTGGACCCTTTGGACCTTAATGTAGACCAATTTGAAAACTGGACCCAAAATTAAAAATCTAAATACACGGTTAGATTCGGCATAACAAATAAATAAATGTGGTCACAGATTTTACAAATCTAATGCGCCATACTGTACAATTAAAGATTACTTCTTGAAATTTGAAAAAAAAAAAATATTTGAAGAATAATTCTTTTTAATTTCTGAAATCTGAAATGAGAAAAAATTGTCCCCCCACAATTTCTTTTTACCCCCCCCCTAAAAAAAATTCTTCCCCTCAAGATATGGTCATAATCTCAATTCAAATTTCCAATGGAGTTTGCAACCATAATTACCCATCTAAATTTACCATAGTGCTAACTTAATCTATTTTATAATAGAATTTAAAATATAGTGTCAATCAAATCTTTCATATGTTTTTTTTTGTAAAAAAAAAAGATGAAACATTTGCAGATATTTTTACTAATCTTCCTCTATAAATATGCATTTCTTTAAACATAATTTAAAAGCAGTGTAAGGGAAGTAACCAAAACGTTGTATTTGGATTACCTCCCTTACACTGTTTTAAATTATCTTAATTGTTCATTAACCATTACTTTATACATAATTTAAAAGCAGTGTAAGGGAGATAATTTCAATGATGTATTTGATTTATCTCCCTTACACTGCTTTAAATTATGTTTTGTACTAAAGTATTTGTCCATTAACCAGGACAACCTTGTTTTTCCCCCTTTTTTGCCCCTAATTCCTAAACGGTTTGAGCCATAACCCCCCCCAAAGCAAATCCTAACCATCCCTTTGTGGTATGGAAACTTGTAGTATAATTTCAGAGAGATCCATACACCGTTCCACAGTTCTTGTCTGGAAACTAGAAAATGCTTATTTTTGGCCCCTTTTTTGCGGTCGTATAAAAATAGCAGGCTGTAAGTCAAATTAGTGATTAGCACACCAATTTAAATAAACTTTTTGCAACTTGCAGTGTAATATGTTCTCTGCATGTACATTTATTTAATAATTTATATTGCAGTTACAGGGAGTTGCAGAAAGATGAAACCAGGCAGTACATTTTGAGATGTTTTATGTATGCAATAAAAGGAGGAAAGACAGAAAATGACATCAAAAGTAATCTGGAAAGAATTGTGCCACATGTTTTTGGTAGTCATGAGAAATGTGAAGATGTTGACTGGTGTACATATAACACAAATCCTGAAAATTTCAAGTAAGCACAAAAACTCATTATATTAGTAAGGATTATCAGCAAGACAAGATCTAATATTAGGCAATGAAGGAAATAGTTTGACATCTTCTAATTGGAGTTATTGCCCATTATTGACCATTTTTCCATTTTTGCGTTTGCTGTAAATGATAATAAATTATATTAGATATATAGACATTTTAAATTAAATAAAATGCTCCGTAGGGTGCACCTTGATACGACCACAGAGGTCAAAGCCTAAACAGTTGGGGCAAGTATGGACACAACATTCAAGCTTGATGCAGCTCTGAATTTGGATTGTGATGAAATATTTGACACAGCATAGGTTTCTGACACAGAATGAATATGGTCTAATAACTTTAAAATTTTAAATTGGACATTTACCTATTATGGTCCAATATCCAAAATCTAAATACATGGTCAAATTCAGCATACCAAAGAACCGCAAGAATTCAATTTTTGTTAAAATCAAACTAAGTTTAATTTTGGACCCTTTGGACCTTAATGTAGACCAATTTGAAAACGGAACTAAAAATTAAGAATCTAAATACACGGTTAGATTCGGCATATTAAAGAACCCCAATAATTCAATTCTTGATGAAATCAAAAGTTTAATTTTGGACCCTGTGGACCTCAGTGTGGACCAATTTGAAAAAAGGGGCCCAAAATCCAAAATCTTAATACACGGTTAGATTCAGCATATCAAAGAACCCCATATATTCAATTTTTGTTGAAATCAAACAAAGTTTAATTTTGGACCCCGATTTGGACCAACTTGAAAACTAGGCCCATAATAAAAAATCTAAATACATGTTTAGATTCAGCATATCAAAGAACCGCAAGAATTCAATTTTTGTTACAATCAAAGTTTAATTTTGGACCCTGTAGACCAATTTGAAAACAGAACCAAAAATTAAGAATCTAAATACACGGTTAGATTTGGCATATCAAAGAACCCCAATAATTCAATTTTTGATGAAATCAAAGTTTAATTTTGGACCCTTTGGACCTCAATGTAAACCAATGTAAAAAAAGGGGCCCAAAATCCAAAAACTTAATACACAGTTAGATTCAGCATATTAAAGAATCCCAAGAATTCAAGATTAAAACCCCATTGAAATTGGTCAAGAAATATGCAATTTATACAAAGTATAAGAAAAGTATTGTTTTTGGCCCCTTTTTGACCCCTAATTCCTAAACAGATAGGGCCACAACCCCCAAAATCAATCCCAACCTTCCTTTTTTGGCATGGAACCTTGTGGTACAATTTCAGAAAGATCCATACACTTACACACAAGTTATTGTCTGGAAACTAGAAAAATGATTATTTGGTCCCCTTTTTAGGCAATTAACTCCTTAACTATTGAGACCATAACCCCCAAAATCAATCCCAACCTTCCTATTGTGGTTTCAAACCTTTTGTTTAAATTTCAAAGAGATCCATACACTTAAACATATTAAACTAAAGTTATTGTCTGGAAACTAAGTGTCTTCGGACGACGCGGACAACGACAACAACATGATACCAATATATGACCACAAAAAATTTTTGCGGTTGTATAAAAAAATGATGAGCCAGTCAACATCTAATAACAAGTCAAATATGGCCGATATATAACGCAAGATAGAGAGAAACTAAACAGACTAAAGGATAATCAACAAAAAAGAGATTTTTGTCATAAATTCTGTTCTGGTATCAGGGGTGTGTAAATGCTATGCCTGACTCGCCCGACTTGTACATTTGAACAACCGGACAATTAATTTTCTTTGTCTGGGTTGCCCGTGGACAGAAAAAATTACACTAGACAGAATTTAATTTAATCAAAAATATAGAAGTACTTTCACAACTTACTAAGATGTATTATTTTATGTAAAAGAAACCAATGATCAACACATGAAAAACATTTATTTAACTCAAAATATCAGTGTTCATGACGACAAGTAGTAAAATATAACTGGAAATAGATCGATAACCAAAATTAAAAAAAATAAGTATAGGAACCGGGTCTCATAAACATTGCGTTATCTTTGTCCAGAGACCTGGGATCGTGAATAAGGTATCATCCACTATCTAACAGAAGTGTTATTTTAATTTTTCATGATTAAGTTCTATCAAGATGGATAAATACCTGATAAAAACGCGTAGACCGGGTAATTATTGTGTGAATTTTTATGCAATAATCATAAATAGTTTCTGACATACAGCGCAACATGCAAACCCCCCCCCCCCCCCCCCCCCCCCCCCCCCCTTTTTTTTTACAAAAAACTCAATATCTCTAAAATAAAATTTGAATCAAAATCAAAAAGTATACAGATCTTTAGATTAATATAACTAAGAAGTGTGTAAAATTTTAAGCAATAATCATAAATCGTTTTAGAGATACGGCGCGACATGTGAAAACCCCCCTTTTTTAAAAAGAAAAGTCAATATCTCTAAAATAAGATTTTGAATCATCACCAAAAAGTATACAGATCTTCAGATTAATATAACTAAGAAGTGTGTAAAGTTTTAAGCAATAATCATAAATTATTTTTGCGATACCGCGCGACATGTGAAAAAAACCACACACCTGTTTTAGTTACTAAGTCCCGTAACTCAAAAAGTTTTAATTTCATTTTCACCAAAAAGTATACAGATCGTTTGACCATCATAAGAAACAACAATGCTAAGTTTCATGAAATTTGAATAAGTCGTTCTCAAGTTACGGTGCGGTGCGACATGTTTACGCCGGACAGACGACATTTGTATACCATAATACATCCCGTCAAAATTTTGACGGGCGTATAAAAAGGCAAGCTAGAATTCCAGACGTCGTGGCTTACAGATTTCCCCTGGCTCTCCAGTAAAGAACTGAACATAAATTAAATTTTTGATTAATTTGTAGAAAACTAACCCACAACTTGCTGATCAAAAGTCTTTAAACTTATTTGTTGGCAAATTAATAGATAGAAGGGACACTTTGGTGACTCATCAATGCTCTGCAGAACACCAAACTTGTCAGATGAAAGAAAACAGTATAATTAAACACTAGGTGTCTGGGGGAAATGGATAAAGCATTGCAAAATTGCCCTCTAGATGTTTTGGATTTTTTATGTTGGGTTTCTGTCTCATTGATGTTCATATGATGTTAACCCTAGACCTCCTTTTATTTAAACACATAAACAAATATATCACAATTAACTTCATTTATATTGTGATACAAAACAGTTTTAAGAATCATAGAAGCTAATACAGTAAAATACTTATTGGAAAATTCAGGGCATGTAACTTTTTATCTGGACAAGTAAAATTTTCAGTTTTACTTGCCCAGGGACAAGTGCTCACAACAAATATTTCCACACCCCTGACCAGTCTATAATTTTGGGGATTGTCCTTTGTTGATAAGGCCTAAAAAAAATATGTGTTTCCGGTAACCCGACCTAACTTTTTTATGGCGTCAGCAAAAAAAAAAATAAAAACCCTACCTACCATCCTTTAAAAGAGTGTTACTGGATTTTTTTTTAGGCCTAATGCACACTGACCAAGGTGAGCGACACAGGCTCTTTAGAGCCTCTTGTTAAACTTAACATAATTTTACTAATTGTCATACTTGCAATGTTCATAAAAAGATGCATGATTAATGTTTTTTTTTGTATCTAGGTACAAAAGTCTGCCAAATGGGAAACCACTAACATCAGATGGATTAAAGGAGGAGTTAAACAGCTTAGTCAGAAAGATGATAAGTAGGAGTGAGTCCATAACTGATTTAGGATCAACACAAGCCAATGAAAGTTTTAATCAACTTGTATCTGTAAAGGCACCTAAAGCAAGGTATCTACAACAGTATTCACAAAGGGCTAATGCATGACTCTGACATTTCAATATGTGTATGCAATTGGTTCTATGCAACTTCTCCTTAACAAATGGACCGGTACTGATGAAACTTTACTAATTTGCACTTAAAGACCTGAGGATATAAATGAAGGAGTATAATCTTTGTCTGAAATATTTCAAGGGAGATAATTGAACTTAATTACTTGGTTTAATGTGGGACACATGTGGGACAGAAGATTTCTTTTAGTGTTTGAGTCGACTCATAGTTCTTACGTCTGCACTGCTGTACATACTTAAAATGCTTTGCAATCTACATAGCTCTTAATTCATTAATAATCTTATTGCATTCATTCAAATTGTTTTTCAATTTATATCAATTAATATATAGTTTAAAATATAAACAATAAAAATTAGAATGATGTTCAAAATAAATTATCAATTAATCCATCGTTCTCTTTCAGACATTATGGTGGATCATGTTCCCTTCAAAATAGGTTATCAGCAGCAGTTCTTCAGAAAAATGAGGGATATGGTTATTTGTCGAAAGTAAGTTATTGGTTTTAAAGTTTTTAACAGTTTTTACAATCATCATCAGTTGTGGTTTAATTATATTTCCTCAATTATGGAAGAGACAAATATTTGTTTATATCCTTTACACCTATATGTCACAAAGTTTTTCAACTTAAATCCTCTGAAACTACCTTACAGAATGTGAGGATTGGCCATTAAAAATTATTTATTTGATATAGCCTACCTATGCTTGTAGGTTTGGATTGGCAGAAAGGGATTTAATTGTTTTGTATTTTTGGCCAACAACATAAGTTTTCCCGACCATCATCCCTGATGGCCTCTTTTATTACAAGACCTACCTATTGTATTTATTGTTGAATTGTTCTCGCCCTGAACATGCATGAAATATTTGCCACTGGACGTTAAGCAACCATCAATCAATCTTAAGATGTCTTATTATATTATTTAAATATATCGCCTTTCATGATCACAGCTAGCAAAAGAAACGGAAAATTTTACTAAGAAATACATAATGTTATATAAAAAAATTGTTTGCTTATTTATTACCAAAGTCAAAGGTGTATATTTTGCAATATCTGTCAGTCAATTGATCTCATACAGATTGCTGAATCAAGGTCGACATGCTAAGTTTTTGTCTCGCCTTGATGGAATCAAAAAGCGAGACATAGGTATGCTGTTTCCGGCGTCGGCGGCGTCAACAATGTATTAGTTTGTGATTAGGTCTAGTTCATGGTGAACCACTAGTGGTAGGTCAATCATATTTGGTATGCAGTTGTATTAGCATTAATTGGCACATCTCATTTCCATGGAGATTATTTGGCCCAGCCCCCTCAGTCAAGGTCTATTGACTTTGAAACTTTTCATAGTTTACATGTATTAGTTTGTGATTAGGTCAATTTATGGGGAACCACTAGTCGTAGGTCAATGATATTTGGTATGCAGTTGTATAAGCATGGGCATATCTCATTTCCATGGAGATTATTTGGCTTCGCCCCCTTAGTCATGGTCTATAGACTTTGAAAATTTTGCTAAGTTTACATGTATTAGTTTGTGATTAGGTCAGTTCAAGGGGAACCATTAGTGGTAGGCCAATGTTGATTGGTGTTCAGTTGTATAAGCATTAGCACATCTCATTTCCATGGAGAATATTTGGCCCCGCCCCCTCTGTCATGGTCTATTTACTTTGAAACTTTTGCTTAGTTTACATGTATTAGTTTGTGATTAGATCAGTTTAAGATGAACTGCTAATGTTAAGTCATTGATATTTGGTATGCAAATTTATTGGCATTTGCAAGTATCATTTCCATGGAGATTATATAGCCCCCACCCCATGGTTCATTGACTTTGAAACTTTTACATAGTTTACAAGTTAATGTTTGTGTTAAGGTTTGTTTAAAGGGAACAACTTATAATACGTCAATGGTATTTGGTATACAGTTGTATTAGCATTGGCACATCTCATTCCATGGAGATTGTTTAGCCATGTACCTTCAGTCATCGTTCATCAACTTTGAATATTTGCATAACTTACATGTTAAAGTATTGCAATTTTAATTTCAACATTTGCATTATCAAAATTAAAAAAAAGGCGAGACATATCTCTGTGATAACAGTTTATGTTATATTATGTGGTATTTTGCTAGAAATTGACATTGTACTGGTGTATTAGATCGATCATGTAAGTTTTTTTTATCTTTTAGGTTAATGTAGCAGCCAGCCTTTCTCCTGGTGAATTGACTATGTCAATTGCATCAACTCGAGACAAGAAATGTGAAAAAAGAAAGATAAAGAAACAGTCAAAAGAATTCAAGATTGCCAGAATTCAGAAAAAAAGGAAGCGCAACATCAATTCAAGAAAAGATATGGTAAAAGAGGGCAAAACATATGAACAGCAGTTAGAACTGTCAATACAAGAAGACCCTGACCAAGGAATTGACATTCCACAACCTCTGAAACTGGATGGAACTGAAAGTGATGTGTTCTTTGATCTTGAAACCACCGGATTAGGCAGAAAAAGTGATATAATTCAGATAGCAGCACTGACGAATATGAAAAAGTTTCAGAGATATGTTATTCCCCGAGTTGAAATAAATATTGAAGCCAGTAAGGTAACTGGGATAACATATAGCCATTCCACAAACACAATGTATGTCAGAGGTCAAAAGGTGGAATCTGTAACACTACATAAAGCACTTCTAGATTTCATTTCTTTCTTGAAAGAATGTAACAACCCAATTCTAATTGGACATAATATTTGTAATTTTGACATTCCAATCATAAATGAAAAATTAAAGGAATGTAAGCTTTTTACAACATTTTCAAGTATTGTAAAAGGATTTATTGACACTTTGAAAGTTGCCAAAAAATATATTTCGAATACAGATATTCCTAACTTCAAACAGGAAACCCTTGTGAAGCATTTTTTAGGAGAAACATACGTAGCTCACAATGCTATTGAGGATGTTCAGTCCTTGCATAATTTGTATGCAATGAAATTGGTACACCACATCAAATCTGATGATTTATATGCTTTTGTTTACCACAAATGTCTCGATTCTTACTCTGATATTTTAAAGAGCAAGGCAGTAAGTAGGCTGATCTGTGTAAGACTGGCGAAAGAGGGTATTTCTCTTAAACATCTTAAACTGGCTGCCTCAAGAGATTGCAATGGGATAAAATTTGTATTTGAAGACCATAAAGTTCCACAGAAGAGTGTGAAAGCCTTCAATAAATATTTGAAAGATGAAGAATGAATAACAGTTATATTGACATAATGAAGAACTTATTATCATATATTTATTTGTTAACTTGAAATGTCATTAATTGAATAAGAATACCTGGTAATTAGGGTTCAACAATAATTTGATCTGTCCATCAACCAGCCCGTCCATCCGTTTTAAATTTTGTCTCTAATGACTTATGTACCTTCATGATTTCAAAGATTATACTTGTAAATATAAAAAAGGAGATGTGGTTATATGATTACCAATGAGACAACTCTTCACAAGAGACCAACTGACACATATATTAACAACTACAGGTCACTGTACAGCCTTCAACAATGAGCAAAGCCCATACCACATGTTTATTCACTAACACCAGAGGATGTGTCATACTGATGTACTACTGTTTAGGTAAAAGGCAAAGGTTAAAAACTAAGTTCAAAGTTGTCAACCCTATGCTATGCATGTGGTAAAGATCTTGTCTTGATTTTCAAAGTCTATACTTTGCATGTATGTTCACTTGCATCAGACGGTCTGTGATTATAAATTATATGTACAACTAATTAGGTCAAGGATTAAGGTCAAAGTCCAGAACTCTATATGTATGGTCAAGATGGTCTATAACTTGAGAATAGTTTGAAGTAATGCAAAGGTACACACATGGTTATTCAGCACTGTCAAAAGGGATGTCATGATTATTGGGCAAATCTTTAAAAAAAAAATCGAAATAAATTACTGAAGTCAAATGTGGGATAGCTGAATTGGTCTTTGAAAAATATTGTGTTTGTTATACTTGAGAACAGCTGAAAGTTTAGTGACCTTACATGGCATGATTATATATATGCATCACATTTGAAGGTGTGTCTCAAATAATGTCCAAATAATCTTTGTCAATGGTAACGGTAAAAAAATGTAATTGATCAGAGATCGGTACCCCAGGTACTTTGATTAAGGTCTTCCTCACTATTTAACATTGGAACCTTTACAGGGGCGGGCAGAGATAGATTCCATCTCCTTGATGTCTATTTGGTCCATGCTACAATTATCCCTGTCTTTCTCTTTCACCATGTATGACTGGTTATGGCTATCAAACAGTATTTTTAAAGATAATTGAAGACAGGAAAAAAGTTGTGGATGACAACAAATTTATTGCTGCATTTTTGAAGGGTCTGTATACTACTAGGCTTTTGACTGTTTACCTCACTATTCACTTTTATTAAGATAGATTGAAAACATAAATATGACCTCTTAGATTTTTTGCAGTTATGGTTTAAAACCAGTTCACTCTTTTTTCTGTCATGCTTGAAGATATTATGTAGATAGTTTTACCATGACAAATTAATTACGATGATTTTTTTCTGTTTGAATGATTTTCTGCAGGATGATTTTCTGCAGATTCGTGCTTCCACACTTAAGAGAGTTCATGCTAATAATAAGTTTCTGGTATTATTTGTCATGTTTGAGGTATTAACCATGACATTAGTTACAGATACAGTTTTAATTTTGTTCTGGTCCCATGATTTTTTCTAGAATTTGGTCCCATAGTTTAGGTACTGATGGCCTAGTAAATTTTCTTTTGTAAGGTTTGTTTACCTGTAAATCAAAAGAAATCATAATGTCTGTTCATCTGTCTATTAATGTTATTGATACAACTTCTTCAGTAAAACTTTATTTGCAAGAAAAGTATTTCATAATACCTTTTAGTATTAACAGATTAGGTGTTCAATATTTGCACCAGGAGATATTTGGACTTCTTTCTTTTGAATTCAAAAAATATTACTAATTTACCAATGAAGTTCCAGTCCAGTGAATTTTCAGCAATATCTTGATCTGTATTGCTTTTTTTATGCCCCATTTATGGACATTATGTTTTCTGGTCTGTGCGTCCGTCCGTTCGTCCGTCCATTCGTTTGTCCGTCCGTCTGTCCTGCTTCAGGTTTAAGTTTTTGGTCGAGGTAGTTTTTGATGAAGTTGAAGTCCAATCAACTTGAAACTTATATATATATATTTTTAGTACACATGTTCCCTATGATATGATCTTTTTAATTTCAATGCCAAATTAGAGATTTTACCCCATTTTCACAGTCCACTAAACATAGACAATGATAGTGCGAATGGGGCATCTGTGTACTATGGACACATTTTTGTTTTAGTTGCTTTTAAAATTTTAAAAATCTTGAATGATACATTTTAATTGTAATTTATTTAGTTTGTAAGTAGTTTTTTCTAAAATCTGCCTCAATAGAAACTTATGCCTTTTTTGAAATTGTATGGAATTGCAAGTAATTTTCTGTCTTGATAGCATATAGTTTAGGTATTTTGTATGCATGGAATTTTTTATATGTCGTAATATGTGTCTATATTGTTGTATGGGTGATTTGTATAAATCATTAGAGATTGTGTGGTATTTATTTGATTACTAAATATCAACTCTAAATAAATTTTTTGAAGTGAATTGTATTGAATTGATTTGAATGAAACAGCCAGATATCTCAAACCTACCTCAAAAGACAACAAGTCCATAGCCAGGTCAAGTGTTTCTTGCCAAAAATACAGTTATCGTCCTTCAGGTCTGAGTTCAAGGTCACATGAAGGTCATAATTGTAAGGGGACACACCACCTCATCATGATACATCCATATGCCAAAGATGTAAGGCATAAGTCAAAAGACAAAAAAATGGTGACCTGGTCATGTTTCTTATGAAAAATGCATTAATTTGACCTTGAGGTCAAATTTGAAGGTCACACAAAGATAATCATGGTATAAGATGCTAAACTTCTTAATGATACATCTACATGCAAAATATATAAGGCCTAGATCAAACAACAAAAAAGTTATGGCCTATATGTACTATCAGAATGGAACTTGCTCTTATTTATTGAGGGGGGGGGGGGTATGTTTATCTTGAATTAAAAAACAATCTGACGGTTAAATTGCTCTAATTTTTTGCGAGAATAACAGACTGATATAGTAATACAAATGGTTAGTTTTTGAAAAAAAATAAACGACACATTTTTTTTAAATCAAAATTTTTATCTTAAAATATTTTACCAATCACAGTCATTTTTGGTTGCTTCATCTTAGACCCCCTTTTTTATTTCAGACTAAAATTTGAATTTAGAAACAAAAACTTATAAGTAAAGGGTATCAATCAACTCAAAATTGCCTAATTCATCACTATCAATTAAGCTTTTGTCAATTCAAGCTAAATTTTCAAAAAAAAATAACATGAATAGCCCTATACCCATATTTCTGGAACTTCAAAAATCGACAGAAATTAGCATGTGACCCATGCCATATTTGGGTGGCCATAACTTTTTTACCAACGGTTCAAATCCTTAAAAATGTTTACATGATGCTCAGCTAGGCCTAACTTATCAATGATGTAAAAAGAAGAAAAATTAAACGACAGGTTTGTTTTGGGGTATAGTGTTGGGTACCTCCTTAAAATCAAAATCGTACTTATTAGCTAGATTAGTATCCATCTTTTTCTTGTTTGACTAACTATGACATTTTTTGCAAGATTTTTTTTTTCATATAAAAGTTGTCCGTTAGGTCTCCAAAGTAAATATCCATTTCATAATTCATTTTTTACAAAGGGAGGCATAGTTAATGACCCTAACAGCCATTCCGTTGTCTCTAGCAGTTCCAAAAACAAATGACAGTCCCTTGAACAAGATTAACTTTTTTGGTATACCTCTATGGAGTTATATCCTTTCAGAACGATAGGTCATTCTTTCGAAGAATCAACCCGGACGATACCAAGTTTCAATGAAATCTGCTTCAAGGCACATCATTATTACCTATGTAAGGGCATAATATTTCCTGATTAAAATGCAAACAACAGTTCGTTGAAACATTTAATTCATTTGATAGTAATCGTGTGTTGTTGCCTATTTGGGTTTTACTGTACGATTTTTCATCTTTATTAGTCTTTAAAGATTTTTAGGCAGAAACAATCCTTTCTTTCGTTTCTTTTGACTGAAATATAAAAAATAAAAAAACAAGCCAAATCGTATCACATTTATGAGTCGGATTATGAAAAAAACAAAAGTATACAATCTTGTTGATTCACACCGTATTGGATTTCATACTGTGACCTATGGATATCCGTGTTTCCGTATATAATGTACATCACAATTTTGTGCTCTTCTTGCCATTCCGTGATTTTTTAAAATTAATTTACCTTTTTTTTCACTCTATCAAATTACCAAATATTCTCATTTTATAAAGGCGAATAGCGACGTAATTTAATTTGTTGGTGGGGTATACTATTATCCTCAAAACACTATTGCCCGACAAAAGGCAGAAAACAATTATTCTGAATAATTCGTTTAAAATTGTTAAAACCGCTATTCTATAGTAAAAATGGGGTTGTGCTAAAATGAGAAACGAAATCGAAACGCAATGAACGAAACTAAACGAAACGAAAAGTTGACATAACATAACGAAACGAAACGAAACATGAAATGACAAAACGAAACGAAATGAAATATATGACATTTGATAGACTTACTTCAAAAAGTTCTTTAACGTCTGAAACGTGACTGACATTCTCCAAGATTGCAATGGCTTGCGAACAAACTGTATATTTGGTCATATATTAATTATCTAATTAGTCTGATTCTGAAAACAAGCAGAGATCAATATAAATATTTCCAGGACAAACACACCAAAGAACACCACTCTTTTTCTGATAGTCTTCATAACTATACACCTTTTCTTTCTCTTGCATTAAAAAGCACAATCGTAAGAATAAATGGCAGATTAAGTGAATTTTTCATTTCTGGAATAAAAAAATATATTATTCTTTGAAATACGGATTACATTAAGCAGGATCCGCTTTATTTCTCGGGAATAGTGTCATAATGACGTTTTAATGCCATCGCATAATTAGTTTATGCGATTGCATAATTGTATTTATGCGATGGCATAATTATATTTATGCGACGCATAATTGTATTATTGCGATGGCATAAATAATTATGGAATTGCATTAATTTATTAGTTATGCAATTTCATAATCCTATTTATACGATCGCAAAAATAACTTAACATTTTAGCAATCTCATAGTCATTTTTGGATTTGCGGAATATATTTTTTTTGACCAACGAAAATTGATATAACATAGATTTCGTCTTCCATTGATTTTTAAGGAAAAGTACCAAGTATATAAGAATGCGCTAGTACTGGTACTAGGCCTACCAATTGTTATTTATACAGCTGTAGAAATCATTCGGAGTTATTGCGTTTGGTATATCCACTTCTGTCTGACATCAAGGAATTGAAAAGGTCTCAAATTTTTATTTAAGCGAGCTGTAAATAAATCACATATATAAAAGCTGCGTACAACAGCTACTTTATTTCACAGGGACTCTGTTAGCAGATTAAACAATTTGAACAAGGTTTTTTTAATTTTTTTTTGTATTTTTTGTCTATTTGTATTACATCATTAACGTAGTTAACACTAGTATCAACATTTCTTTGTTTTCTATCAATGTGCAGCTTACTATCCATATCCGTATACTGAAAAATCCTACTTTAGTTGACCCAGCCAAATTGATATGTATATCGTCGGGGTACCCAAATCGCCCAGTTTGGAGGGTGGTTACGGACCATTAGGGAGAAACTGTTGCAACAACATTGTTGATTTTTATTTTTGAACAAGTAGACTTCACAAGTGTTTTCCTCAAATGCATTTTGTTTGCATACACTTATTGATTTTCTGCCAGCAGCGGCTCAAAGGTCGTGTGGTTCCGTGATTTTGGAGGGGAAGCCAAATCGCCTAGGTAGTGAATAAACCCAACAAAACTTCAGTGCATAAAGTTTTTTCCTGTCTGTTAATGCTACAAAACGTTTCTATCATCCGCACAAGAATTTTTTCTACAATGGTCAGGATGGTGAACTTGTTCACTTTATGACAAGTAAGAAAAAGCCCAGTAGTTTGACCTTGTCATTACACAGAGGTGTAAAAATGCATTACAATG